GCTAGCATGGTGACGCATACAAGGGAGATTACTCTCAAATTCCCGGCATTGCTCTCAGACATGTCTTGACAGGTTTTCATGACATCAGATTGTGACGTCATCTTTAGAACTGGCTCGCGTGAGCGTTGCGGGAAACCCGCCAAACCTCAGTCGCCATCTTGACGTTCACATGTACACATGGCTTTTCTCGGTAAGCGATCTTATCCGTTTGGCCGTCGATCTGTTCGCCCGTATAGGAAGAGGGCGAGGGTTTTTCGACGTTATAGAAGATTCCCTACCCGTTACAGAAAAAGAAGAACTACTAGAAGAAGGGTATTTCGCCGAAGGAGAGTCTTTCGTCGTCGTGCTCCCATGACCAAGAAAACCGTTACCAGATCTTTTTCGACCCTCCCAATTTCGATGGCTGCCAACAGTAGAAGTAGCATGTTTTGTTTATAGTGTGTCTTCATGACTCATATATTACATGTTTTTTTTACACTGTATCTTTATGACTCATGTATAACATGTTTTGTTTACAGTGTGTCTTCATGAATCATGTATAACATGTTTTGTTTACAGTGTGTCTTCATGACTCATGTATAACATGTTTTGTTTACACTGTGTCTTCATGACTCACGTATATCATGTTTTGAAATGTCAAGCTAAACTGTAACTTTTTACTATCGAGCTAACACGGATGGGATATTTATAAGGGCTTAATAAAACGGGTTTTTCCACGACATCTGATGAAATCTCCTCAGCGAAGACCGCTGGATGATCTGGGGAATAAAAGACAAAGATCATCCAGCGGTCTTCGCTGAGTTTGTCCTTATCAGGTAGGAAATTGGCACAACACATAACCTTCGCTGGGTCGAAGATTTTCACATGGCTTTCGTACTTGGAAGAAAAGATCCTTCCATTTTTCAAAGCTTCAATAAACGAATAGTTAATGTTCTCTGCCATGCTCCTGGTGAAGTCAAACACAACGAATTCCTCCTCTCCGTAGGTGTAGGCCAAGTCCTTTTTGCCACCGTTTTCCAACACGATGCAGTCCAGGTTGGCCGCGCAATACTGTGACAAAAAGGTCTTGGCCTTATTGCCTTCCTCATCGTACAACCAAAATACAGTTCGGTTGTCCTGTATTTTGAGCTGCTCCAATGCTTTTCGCTGCCACGGGTAGAGTTCGCAATCTTTCAATCGTGCTTGGGCCTTCTCCAGCTTCTGCCTGTAGATGAATTCATCAAAGAATTCCTTGAACTTTCTCTGGTCCCCTGGTATCATTCGGCAGTACGGGTAATGCAGAGGGTTCAGCTTATCCACCTTCTGCGCATAGCACCATGCTAGCTTTAGAGTGCTGAGGTAGTCGTGATCGATGTTCATCACATGGCATTCGAAATCCTCCTTGGAGCAGTACCTTACGCTCTGCTTGACATTGCGACAGGCACTGATGTCTTGGTACTCAGGCAATTCGTGCAGCTCCCAGAAGTCTTTGAATTTGCTGAATGTCATTTTTGCGTGTTCCTTCACGATGATTACCGCATGGGAATGTTCCTTCTCATTCTGGCCTGCCCCCAGTTCATTGCAGATGATGAAGGACTCGATTACTTCACACATTTCACCTAGTTGTGGTGCAATGTGCTTGACATGGGACTGCCAAGTGAGGAAGAAGTTCCGTCCAGGGTATTCTTTTCTGCTGTTGTTGGCATCCGTACATACATAAACATACACAAACAAACAAAAAACATAAACATGTATACACATAGCTATATATTTCATGTGATTTCTTTTTAATTTTATAAGATTATATGTCAATCATCAGTTTCATCTCACGGCATTTTGCATATAGAATATTTTATACCTATACATATATAATTTAGAATGTTCAATACTGTATGTAAATATATACCTAATTGTTGTTATATATATTGCATAGTTCTTGATTATTCTCGGGTGTCAGCTAGGTTTATTAGTTTCTTTACCCATATAGTATTTAAAAATAAGATATTATAGGCTTGTGACATTTTTAGCTTTAAGGTATGAAAATATTCGACCATGATTCCCATGTTTTTTTAAGGTCTCAATTTCACCCCTCTCTTGGACTATTACCTTGTCAATCTCATGTACATTAAATAAATAATTGTTAAGTTTAGTCATACTAGGGTTTCTGTTCTTTCTGGAGCTAAAGTTGATGAAGAATTTTGCATGAATCATGATATTAGATTTTTGAAATCACAACAATATCTTGTGCTTAAATGACCTTAGCTGTTAATAGGACGTTAAACAAAATCAAACAAACAAACAAACAAAAAGGTTCAAGTTCAAGTACAAACATATTAGTTCTGTCTCCCCTTTTGTAAAATATAGTATTGAAACAATTCAATTTATCAGTTAGAATACATACATAATAAAGAGCCACTCATCAAATATTGAGTTATGGGAAACTATATACCGATTGGTACATGCATAGCTGGTCATGTGAGACTTTCGATTACATACATAGGTAATCCTGGGTTCACTAGTGCCTGTCATGCATACTTTCGACCCCTCCTTACATCTACTTCCTAGTTATACGTTACCATCATTGCACATATATGACTATACTCTCATAGATTGAAATAGGCCCAGTAACGCATACCTTGGATTTGACTTTCTGTCTTGTACTTCCTCGGGCTACAACTTGGTAATGATGACTGTGTCACATAAGTTCATTTAAGGACATGCCTCCATGTTTGTTGTGTATGCGTGCATGGTTTATGTGTGCTGGAGGCAAGGTATGTTGGTGTATTGCCTCCTTGTGAAACTGATTCACCCATTGTCGTTATAACGTGACCGAGAGAAATATGTGATGTGTGCCCTCGGCATGGTATTTCAGTGAGATAACATTATAAAGTCGGCATCAGATCCGCGCTATCACAAGGAGGAGATAACAACAACATACCCTTTCTCTGGCACACAAACACACATACACAAGACACATAGAAGCACATCCTTAGCCCAAACAGGACGTTAAACGAAATAAAACAAAACCAAGGCTTTCGATTGTGTCTCTCAAGTCTTCATATGACATAGCTGTTTCAAGGACTTTTAACCCATATAAATCAAAACAATTTACAAGAGGTGTATAATGTGTTTTTGTTACGCGCAAATCGTGACATGTATCTTCATAAACGTTTGCTTAGTAGTAAAGTTCCCACAATGGGGGTCCCGTGACCACTTTTTCCCGGACCAAGGTTTGAAAGTTGATTTTAGTCAATTTGAGGGTGCTGATTAAAATGAGCTGGGGTGAACCTCGTGAAAATGTGGACTGACCCGGCCAGACGCGAAAATTCAAAATGGCCGCCACCCCCGTCGTCCGGTATATCAAACAAATACATATCTTTGCTTGTAGATGTCCGTTTTATATGATTTTTGGGTCTTAATACATATATATATATAGTAAGCGTTAGAACGAAAAATGGTCTGTTATTTTTTTGCTGATGAAAACTAGGGTAACCGCAAGCTGACTGCAAAGGAAAAGACCAGGAAGACACCCTTAATGGTTTGGATAAAAAGTTTTCATCTTCAACCAGTGTAAATTAGATGAAACAACCATTGTATGGAATGTCTGGTCAATTATTTTGCTTATATCGGGTTTATCGTCCTTGCATCAGCCAGAATCATATGGTTGGTTTTGTTTGTTTTTAATTAGTTGAACGTCCTTTTAACAGCTAAGGTGATTTAAGGTAGTGCCTCTATGTGCGTTGTGTAACCGTGCATGTGTGTATATGTACCGGAGACAGGGTATGTTGGTGTACTTGCCTCCTTGTGAAAGCGCGGATCCGATGCCGACTTGATAGTGCTATCTCACTGAAATACAATGCCAAAGGCACCCAGCACAGCATTCCGTCTGGTCACATTATGCTGACAGCGGGTGAACTAGTTGTTGCCATATTTCTAAATGCTTAACGTTAAGCAGGGAATAACAACTACCATTTTTTAGGAACTTTGGTATTTCCTGGCCTGGGGACAGAACCCATTACCTTCCTCACCTGGGCGAACGTTGTAACGTTCAAAGTTAAAGCCAAAAGTGAGCTATTGCCAAGCAAGGCGTAAGGAAATAAAAGGTAGTTAGAAATAGAAAGAAATATAAAATGCTTTGGAAAATATTTCATTAATCGTTTAAATATCTAAGAGAGTTATATTAGCCCTATTGTTTTCAATTTCAATAAATTTATTGTCAAAGAACAAATGGATTGGGCAGCAGGCATAGCCTATTTAATCCCTTTCCAAACATAGTAACAAACAGTGGCACAAGCATAGACATAGACATTAGAACACATACAAACACATATAAACAAGTTGGTATTATCAAATTAATAATCAAACTAATACTCATTTGTATTATAATTGAATCTAATGATTTAAATTCTAACCTCTTATTTTGATACTGAAAAGACATAGAAAAATATATATACATATTATGAAGAGAAAAGAACATTAATTTGTTGATATAGCTGCATGTATAAACATTTGATGGGATTAAATTACCGCACCCAACAGATACAGGCCATAAAAGTCCATTGTATCACACAAGGCCATCCGCTGATGAGTTTGGAAATTCAATCCTGCCAAATAGTTTATTTTATGCATATTAATCACAGGTTAGATATATGATTAACATGTTGTAAAGTTTTATATTCTTATTTATGTAGTTGTTTCCCAATATTTTTTAATAAAATAGTAAAACTGATCTTCTGAACCAAAGCCAAACCCTCACTAACAATATTTAAAATAACAAAAGAAGACAAAAGGAAATATCATAAAAAATTGAAGTTAAATGTCCTGGATCTTTTAGAACTTAAAATGGAATTGGATAAAGATAGGAGAATATGNAAATAGTAAAACTGATCTTCTGAACCCTAGCCCACCCCTCACTAACAATATTTAAAAATAAACAAAGACAAAAGGAAATATCATGAAAAATGAAATTTCATTAAAAATTGAAGTTAAATGTCCTGAATCTTTTAGAACTTAAAATGGAATTGGATAAAGATAGGAGAATATGTTTGTTTTTATTTTCATCACATCTCTCACAACCATTTAGCATGACATCTAATGATAAATGGTTGTGAGTTTCAGGTAGGGCGTAAGAATTGTACCTGCTACCACCAATTGCATGATTGCAAGAGGCGACTAAATTTGGGACCTTATCTCTTCTCTCCTTTTTAAATAACTTTCTTCTTCCTAATGTCTCCCTTGACAATGCCTCACTTTTGGCCATTTGTTGAGCGTTCGATCCTGTGAGGAAGGCTTTGGGTTCTGCCCCCTGGCCGAGAGTTACCAGAGTCTGTAAAAATGGTAGTTTCTACTCCTGTTAACGCTCAGCAATTTAGGAGTGGGACGACTGGTTCGCCCGTTGTCAGTATAATGTGACCGGGAGGGGCGTCTTGCTTGGTGTCTTCGGTAGTATGTTTCAGTGAGGTAGCACTATAAAGTCGGAATCATTTCCGCGCTATCACAAGGAGACAAAAACGAACATATCGCAGCCTCCCAAAATGCACACACATACACTACACGCATGCATCTACCACACAGGGGAGGCCGTCCTTAAATGACCTTAGCTGTTAATAGGACGTTAAACAAAATAAAACCAAACCAATGTGAGTTTCATGGAATATATTCTGAAAAAGTACAATACGATCTTCAGTGTATTTGATACAATTGTTTATTGTTTAACAGTACCTATGCGTTTATCTGTATATTTTGTTGTTTAGCTGAACCGGCTGTAACATTCATCCGATGGGGTCGAGCAGACTGTTCTGGAAACGCTACAGATTTGGTTTACTCAGGTAGTCATTTCTATTCTATACTGTGTGTTGTATTTTGTAGATGATTCAATACGCATTATGTGATATTATCAAATCTATTTTGATAGATCCCTTTAGTTTGATGGGTTATATATTGCCCTGAGACTAAAGCCAAGAATCTTAAATTTTGTGGAAGTTTAGCTTGTAATCACATTTGTTGTCAAACTGTGTAATAGAGGCAGTAAAGATATATTGTGATTACTGATTGAAGGAATGATATAATAAAGGTAGTTGTTCAATTTTCTTTAAAATTACTTTGCGTTAATGGGTACTCTATTATTGACTAAAATGCAAGTTTTAATATCTATATTTAGTAACAAGAGCATGTGTTGCAACATACATCGTCTGCTAGATGGGACTGGTTCGAGTGTTAAGCTCCAGCATGGAAACATATATACATGCTCAACATGTAATATTAAGCTCTTTGCGATATTGTAATTGACTATTTGCGATTGATTGTATCTTCAATTTTAGGCTATCTTAAAGCTTTTGGTCTTTTTAATGAAATTTGAGTCACCATAGCCACTTTCAATATTCAATTTGACGTTTGTCTTTTACCTTTCAGTTTGGTTTGATGTTTTTATTTAGTATTCGTTTTACCTATCCTGTGTTGACGGGCCGTTAAGCATTGATAAAAATAATGATAATAATTTATTGATTGATGGATTTTGAATTGCAGTAGATGATACGATATCGAATTCATCTACAATATAAGTTTGTAATATTTACTTTGTAAACTCAAAGGGCAAGCTAATAAGCTTGGTCGGGATTAAGTTATTAATTTCAAAAGGTGACAGTGATATCAGCCTCCACAACATACAGCGTAGAGAAGCGGAGGGGGGGGGGGATGAGCGAGAGGGTTATCAGCATTTCAGCTTAACATGTAGTTACTATTATGATAATGGTATTTTCATAATTATGATTTGTTTTCGTAATGAATGACCAGGTCTGCAATCTAGACCATCTGTCAGAGTAGGCTAGAGGACCATAATTGATAGAAATGACTTCTATGCTAATATGTAAAGAGTCGCATCTGCTCGAAGAAAAATAACCCTAATTTACCGGTATGATGTTTATAATACAAATTAGTCAATAGGTTCAACTTGAAACTTTCACTTTTTTATGAGGCCGGAAATGCCCAGTCCTGTTACATTCCCAATATAACCAGAATAGTTTTTAGACAAGAGAAATCATTAATCTGTTTACAGTCTGCGTTGGGTTCGGGGGCAATATCTGGCCCTTCTCTTTACCCGAACATGATTATTAAAATAACAATATCATGGTTTTTTCTTCGATTGTACAAACTTTTTAACGTGGATAGTTACAGTTTAAAATATAATGGCCAAGGAATTGTGTGACAATAGGTGGTTTTAGCCCACCTTCATTAGAGGGTGGGCCAAGCGAATCGCCAGTCGTCCGTTGTCTGTCCGTCCGCCCCCAACACACCCTTAGAGGTAGGAGATCGTGAAAAGAATAAACCTGCTGTTACCCACTTTCCCTTGAGGAAGGCTTTTGGTTCTGTCCCCTTGCCGACACATACCAGAGTCTGTAAAACTGGTGGTTTCTACTCCTGCTTAACGCTTAGCAATTTAGGAGTGGGACGACTGGTTCGCCCGTAGTCAGTATAATGTTACCAGGTGGAGTGTCCTGCTGGGTGTCTTCGGCAGTATGTTTCAGTGAAGTAGCACTATTAAAACTCTTTCCGTACCGTTGTTGTGTACACACGACAACAATATGTCATCCTGGTTCCCGCTGTCGTGTACAGACGACAAAATAATAGGCCGTCTCATCCGTACACACGACAACTGACTTTGGTGTAACTTATCTTATGTTTATCTTGTTATCGCACACGACAATCGTGTACTACAATTATTTGTCGCTAAAATCAGCACCAATTAGTTGGAAAGAAATAGTTGTATAGTTGCAGAGTACACAATTTATATTTTGTGACCTATTGTTTTCGAATCTGCCGCAACATGTTTGGCGAATCAAATATAAACAATATGGCGGAAACTTAATTCGAGATGAACACTCGTAAATTCATCACCAAATATTTATTTAGACTTCTGGAAATAAATATGAATATTTTAATATAAGTCTTAATGACATCTACTTGTAATTAGAAAAAAAAACTAACAACTTCGTATTTGTAAACAATAATCAATCCCTATTAGGAACCTCCACTTCAACACTGTTTTGAAAACAAGGTTTCGTATCGTTTGTTGCCGAACAGATGTCAATTTCTCAGTCATAATTAGCTGCCACTTAGTCATTATTCTGCGAAAGTGAAGAAGTGTGTGTCTATAAACAACAACATGAGACAATAACAATATTTGTTCACGGTTACCTGTTAAATTCTTGCAGCAATTACACCTCTACTAAAAAGAACATTAATAATCCACCATTTTGTTATTTGCGCGGGGGCGATTCTAGTAAGGACATCCTGGCCAAGACATACCAGAGTCTGTAAAATGGTAGTTTCTACTCCTGCTTAACGATCAGCAACCTAGGTGTTGGACGACTGGCTCGCCCGTTTGGGGTGTCCTGCTGGATGTCTTCGGCAGTATGTTTCAGTGTCGTAGCACTATAGAGTCGTCATCAGTTACGCGCTATCACAAGGAGACAAACACCAACATATCGCAGCCTCCCAAAACACACACGCATACATCTTGTACACAGTGGAGGCCGTCCTTTAACGACAATGGCTGTTGATAGGACGTTAAACAATACTTAACCAAACCAAACCAGACCAAACTCAACGCAAAACACGGCAAACATTTCAACACCGTGAAAATTTCAATATTAACAGAAAACAAAACATACAAAGATATAGAAAGTATTCGTACTAGAATGTATGACTAAATTGGTGTTCTTTGGTGACTACTTTATGAATTTCAACACCGATTTTGATAATGTTATAGTACTGCATAAATAATACAATAGAAACATGTACATGTATTGTCTTTATGAATTTAATTTTTCCTTTTTTATTTAGGCTCTGCGGGAGGATCTCACTTCTCACATAAGGGCGCCGCCGTTGATTTTGTCTGTTTGCCGCCGGATCCTTCCAGGGGGCAACGTGTAAATAACCCTCCCAATAATGGTGGCCTGATGTATGGCGCCGAGTACGAAGACGAAGTAATTTACGGTGTCCCAGACAGAAAAAAAGAGGTTCCATGCGCAATGTGTCGTATATCCGCCTATTCAACTCAAATCATGATACCCGCTCGCACCACATGCTACCCTGGTTGGGAGGAAGCGTACCGTGGCTATCTAGCAGCTGGTCGTTACGATCACCCTGCGGCGACTCAATATGTGTGCGTAGACGAACACCCACAGGTTTTGGCTGATAGTAGTGGTAGAGTAGATGACAATGGTAAACTATTTTACCCTGTAAAAGCAAAGTGTGGTTCTTTAAAATGCCCTCCTTATGTAAGCGACGCCATATTGTCATGCGTCGTGTGTGTAAAGTAGACACGCTACCTGTTCATAGCTGACACATACATAATGTAGTACGTACAACGCTCTTCCAAAGCATGGCCTCTATTGCAAATGTAACGAGCATGCAGTCGGACTTGTTTGCTGTGACAACTTAAAGCACAAGCATTTAATTTTTGTATACTTTCGAAAACAAAATGTTTTCATTTAACCTTTAGATCCACTAAATACATGGACCTGTCGAACTCACTATCTTTTCCGCCATGAAGGTGACTTGCAATCGTGTTCTTAAATCTGGCAAACGTTGATTTCATGTAGATTGAATGATGCTTTTGTTTGCTTGAAATAAACATAGTATAATGCATGAGTTCAATGTTGGTTGTTTATCGCCGTGTCGATTTGAGAAACTGAAGGGCTACTGTAAATTTAAACTGAGACATACCAAAGTCTGTAAAGATGGTAGTTTTTACTCCTTCTTAACGCTCAGCAATTGAGAAGAGGGATGACTGGTTCGCCCTTTGTCTGTATATTGTGACCGGGTTGGGTGCCTTCTTGGTGTCTTCGGCAGTATGTTTCAGTGAAGTAGCACTATACAGTTGGCAACGGTTTTGCACTATCACAAGGAGACAAACACGAACAGATTGCAGCTTCCCAAAACACATACACACACACTACAAGCATGCACCTTGCACACAGGGGAGGCCCTCCTTAAATGACCATAGCTGTTGATATGACGTTAAACAATACTTACCAATATAAAAACCTTCCAATGAAACGGGTATTCGAAAAGATATTTGAACAATTATTCGATCGATGAAAAAAGTACTTGCAACACAAATTGATGGATTAAGTTTTTTATTGTGTCTGATGAAATTTCACACTTGTATACAGAAATCAAAGTAAAAAAAATAAACTGCTTATCCATAGTTCTGCTCCTGTTTATACATGTTTGAGGGATCTTTGGCTGGAGGTTGACAAACACACGACAAGACCTGGTTGTTGAGCTTGAACATACCTTTTATAACTCTGGTTTCGGTCCTCGACACACTTGCACCATTATTTATTGCCTTGTTTTTGACGTCACTTCGGTCGCGCTGTCCTCCGGGTGAATTCGCCTGATACTGACCTGATCCCATTCCAGTTTTTCGTGTCACTATGTTTGTAACGCCATTGTGGCCTATAAAATTCTTCGGTGTATAATGTTTAAACTCTCCTCCTGACGTCACAGCCGTGTTTGATGCAACATTATGTGTAACGTCGCTTGGTCCTAACAGTTCCCGTGGTACATATTGTTTAAACTTTTCTGAAGTAACAACACTGTTAGATTTCATATTATCTGTGACGAAACTAGGTCCTGATGGTTTTCTTGGTATATACTTATGAAACTGTCCAGTCACACCAGTGTCTGACGGACCTTGGTTTGAAACAACATTTGGTCCCATCTGTTCCTGAGGTATATACTGATGATACTTTACTGACGTTCCGCGGGTATTTAAAACCTCGTTTGTTGTGATATCACTCGATCTCAAATGTTCCTGTGGTAAGTACTGTTGATATTGTCCTGATGTCAAGGTAGTCTTTGATGGAACATTGTTTCTGACGCCAATAGGAACGAGCTGGTCTTGAGGTGAATACTGTTTATAATTTTCTGATGTCACAGCAGAATTTGATGACGCTTTGTTTGTAAGGTAAATGGAACCGAGCTGCTCCTGAGGTGTATACTGTTGGAACTGTTCTGATGTCCCGGCAGACTGTGATCGTACATTGTTTGTAACGTATGTGGGATCGAGATGCTCATGAGGTGTATACTGTTGGTACTGTTCAGTTGCCCCGGCAGACTGTGATCGTACATTGTTTGTGACGTCAATGTGACTGAGCTGTTCCTGAGGTGTATATTGTTGATACTTTTCTGATGTCATAGCAAAGTTTGATGACGCTTTGTTGGTGACGTCGATGGGACTGAGCTGTTCCTGAGGCGTAAACTCTTGATACTGTTCAGTTGTTCCGGCAGACTTTGATGGTACGTTGTTTGTGGCGTAGATTGGACCAAGCCCTTCCCGAGGTGTATATAGATGGTACTTTCCTGATGTCACAGCTTTCTTTGTGACGTAATTGGAAACTGTCTGACCCTGCGGTGACTGTTGGTGATATGTTGACGGGCCATTTTGTGTTGATGCCTCCTTGGTGATACCATTGCTGTGTTGCAACGTCACACCATTATTTGCGACGTCATAGAGGTTCGCCTGTCGTTGATATTGGTCTGACTTTGATCTAGAGGCTGATGCAACACCGTATCCGGGAGGACTTTGAGGACCTGATGAGTCCGGCTGTGTATTCTTGCTAAATTCTCTTTGAGGTGGGTTTTGGTGTTTTCTCCGATTACTTCTATTACCTAAAGCTTGTACTGATGTTGGGATAGCTTCAAACAATTGTGGTTTAATTGATCTGCCACCATGCATAATTTTATCAACAACGTCCGTAGACTGACTAGAAGACAATTCCTGATTATTATTCCTCCGATGTTGTGGCTGTGATGTTTGATCAATATTAACAAGTGTTAAGACATTCTGATTTTGCGGCTGAATAAAATCACTTGGTTGGTATTTTCTCTGACTCTGAAGCTCATTAACATTGGAAGGTCTTTGTACTGTAACCCTCTCTGTAGACTGCTGGTGGTAGACACCATGTTGGGGATGTTGTTCAATGTTAACGTTTGTTAATGACCATGTATTGTAAGTTTCTTGTTTTTCCTGAGAATAAGTTTTCGTATTTTCTGGAACAGTAGGCGAATGTTGGGTTGAGGAAATCGGAAATGTTGTCGTATCAACTCGACGAATTCGTGTGTTAATATGTTTCCCTGAAATAGGTGTACTCGTGGGAACACTGCTAGTAAAGCGCCCCGATGGAATAGCAATTGGGTTAGGTTTTCGATAATCGTTTTCAACAGCATTAACATATCTCTCTGTTGATCTAGGGAGTGGTCTACCATCAATTTTCCTCAGCTGTCTCTTTGAATGTACAGCTGAAGAGTCTTTTGTAGATTCAGCATTGTTGAAAGACGACACTTTTCTTTCTGATGATGGTTTCTCGTAACCAGGATTGTCACTTTTGTTCTTCACTTTTGCCGATGATGTACGCACATCTGTCGCTAAAGACATTGCGAGCAAAAGCAAAAGATTATTGTCTATAACAGACGTTGTATTTAAGTGTTGTATAGCTTTCGGGGCTGCTTGACTCTGTTCTGTTGTCTTCTTTGTTGTTAAAGAAAGTTCATTAAGCGATGAGCTGTTAAGCTGCTTCTCAATATTGTCAAGTAGTGATATCATTTCATCTAGTGAAGGTTCTGGTTTCTGCACTTGTTTTTTCAATGTTGTTAGTTGCGGACTCCTTGACTTAATCGCCCTATAGACTGGCATGTATCGCAAAGGACGACGTATGATAGGACGGTTTTGGGGGTTTCGTCTTAGTTGGAATGCAAAGGGGAAGCGCATGTTATTAACACCAAATCCGGCAACAACACGCGCATCTATGAGGTCCTGCAAATATAAACGATGTTCACTAGTTGATGAATATGATACAAAAAAAGTAAATATTACCTTAAATAAAAATGTAAGCAGTTATATCTCTTTAGTAGTATAAGCACTGGCAAAAGTTCTTTCAATTAACATATCAAAAGATATGAATATTCAAAACTACATCCGCATTAATATTTAGAATATATAAACATGAACATGGAGGCACGTCCTTAAATCAACTTAGCTTTTAACGTGAACCTCATCAAAATCAAACAAAGGTCATGATACGTGTGTTAATGAGATCATCCATCAGACCTAAATATATATCAACGAATATGAATAAAAAAATTAACATGAACATTCAATCAACATATAAAACAATGCTATAACGGAGCCATGTTAGATTATACAATTTAGTAACTAAGATTATGTAGCAGTTAGTCGCTTAGTATTATTTGCTTAATATTATTCCTATTGTATGTGAATAATTTACATATAATTTCATATAAGTATGCAGGTCATCGCGTTTTGATACATTACCTATGTTGTATTTGACCATTTCAAAACTCAAGTGTAATTACTGATATATTTTATCACTATCGATAATTTCATCTCTTGATTGTTTCTGCTTGACAGATGAACAATTAGATACTTCGCTCAGCATCACAAAAGTTGAGAAACCGAAATAAGCCTAGTAGACCTTACGAATGTTCATATTTACGAAATATCGGGATGTTTGTAAGTATTGTAAGTAAATTAACAACATAATTGTTAGATACATTGTATATACTCTTTTGCAATTATCAATAACAATTTTATTAGTAAGAGTTGCTATTAATTCGGTCAAAACAAGTCAAAACAGGAGAGCAGTGGCTATAGAATTGGGTTTTTTTGCAGGTAAAAAGTATGTGATATAATTCACAAAAGTAAAAAATATGTACAGTTAATCATATGTTAAGCTATCTAGACCAATTTTAATCATGTTTAATAAATGAATAACATCTTAATGCTATCCCCTTCGCTAACGAGATATTATGCCGGATATTTATTATTATAAAACAGATTCAGATTTTTTTTCTTTCTTGGAACAGGATGGCATGACATAGGATTTGCTCTTGTTAAATGTCAGAATTTCTTCTTAATCTTTAATAGCAACAGCTTATTTTCAAGATACGACGAAACTGGTATATATTCGCTATATTATGCTATAATCTGTCAAATATACTAATCTAACATAATACGTGATTTGTTGTTTTATTTTCGGTTAAATGAATTGTTTCGACCGTATGGAAAACAAATTCATATAAAATTCTCCCAAGTGTGGTTTCGAAATTTTTGAATGTTTGCACAACTGTTCTATATACAAATACTATTTTCGGTTAAATTATTTATGAGAAAAATCTTGCACCTATTTTACAACGATTTATAAAAGCTAACTTTTTCTTATATTCATTTGATTAAAAGAAAATGTATTTCATTTCTCTTACAAAAACAGCTTCAGAAATATGTGGTGCATCTCTTTTTCTTAATTTCTTTTTTAACATCTCTTGGCCTTTTCTAGACTTAAAGATCAAAATAGCATCGCGTAGTGCAAGATATACACATTTGATTTTAATATTCAATAGGCTGACGAACTGTTGTTTTTTTTCTAAAACGGTCTGCAAAAAATAAGTCTGGTACATTTTTCAGATATATTTTTGCTTTTACAATTGAGCAAAATTTGTGGAATTTAAAAAAAAACGTATTACCAATCAAAAATGCGATCTAATCGTGATTTA